TAATCTTATTACATGTTCCTCTCCCACAGTTTTAGAAATTCAGATATATAATCTAATTGCCAAATGGTACCTGAAACCTAGGCTGCAGTCACCACAATGGCATGTCTAGGTGCCTCCCCCCATGGGATTTTGTTTGTTGTTGCTGCTGCTGCTATATTTATTTCCTTTTAATACACTGCTTTATATTGTAAAGGACAAATTTCAGAGTGGTTTACAGCATATTAAAACATCAAATAAAACAATCCGGAATTAAACTAACTCAACAGAGAAGGCTCTGAAATATTCAAGAATTCAGTGATGGCCACCAACTCAGATGGCTTTAAAAGAGGATTAGACAATTGCTCTACCTCCACAGTTGGAGGCAGCGACGCTTGTGAATACCAGTTGCTGGAAACCATGGGAGGGGAGAGGGCTATGGACTAGCTGGACTAGGTGGGCCATTTGCCTGATCCAGCTGTCTATTCTTATGTTCTTATACTCTGCCACTGAGCTGGAGAACAATCAATTGTGAAGCAGGCTGGTGAAGCAGGAAGGTCTCTCTCCTGCTCTTCCAAGAGCCAGAAGGTAAAGGTTAAGGTAAAGGGACCCCTGACTGTTAGGTCCAGTCGTGACCGACTCTGGGGTTGCGGTGCTCATCTCGCTTTATTGGCCGAGGGAGCCGGCGTACAGCTTCCGGGTCATGTGGCCAGCATGACTAAGCCGCTTCTGGCGAACCAGAGCAGCACACGGAAACGCCGTTTACCTTCCCACCGGAGCGGTACCTATTTATCTACTTGCACTTTGACGTGCTTTCGAACTGCTAGGTTGGCAGGAGCAGGGACCGAGCAACGGGAGCTCATCCCGTTGTGGGGATTCAAACCGCCGACCTTCTGATCGGCAAGTCCTAGGCTCTGTGGTTTAACTCACAGCACCACCTGCGTCCCAAAGGGCCAGAAGAGAGGGAACCAAATCTCCCATCTGTCCAGGGTGTGGGCCCACCCCAGCCCCCATTCCTGAACTGTGCTGCTGCGCCGCTGAGGGGCATTTTAAGTCACTTGTTGGTGCCAGAGCAAACATGTTCTATGGTTTTGTCTCCTTCCTCTCCCCCCCCCCCCCCGTTCTCAGCAGCCATAGGATATTACCGCAAGCTGGTTTCCATCTCCTGCTTTAGTCAGCCCGCAGTGCGATTCATTTCTGCACTTGGATTTCAGTTTCTAAAGCACTTCAGGCCGATAAGCGTTCCATTTAATGTGAGAAAGAGATGTTGCCGTGCTGCTAGCCAGCTGTGAAAATACTAAAGAAATGACAGTGTGGCTTTCCAAAAGCCAGGGAATCGGTAGGCAGAAGATGAGAGATTGGGTTTTCTCCCCCAGGGTTTCCAGCGAGAGAAGGGACCAGGGTATGGCTTCCTAACCCCCAGCCCCATTCCCTTTTGAACATGGGGACAAAAAAGCCCAAAACTCGAAGGGTTAAGCGGAAGGGATTCCTCCTTGAAGGCTATGACTGCTTCTGGTCAGCAGGCCTTCTCTGAGCCACAGATAGGCGCCTAAGAGGCAGGGTAACCAGCGTAAAGTGCAAGCCATAAATTATGGAGGCACCGCAATAAATTGGAGAATTGCAGGTGTGCTTTGGTGCTGAAGTCTATTAAATCCGTATGGCTGAGCATTTTTCCTGTGCCTTCTCCTCTTCCCCCTTTCCTTTCCTTTTGAAACACACACACAGAGTGAAAAACACAAAAGCCTTTTGGCTTGGCTTTCACCTCCCCGAATTCTTCGGAGTCTACATCACAGTGTTTTTAAACAATGTGAGATGTGGCAAGAGGCTAATGGTATTAACAGAGTGCTGGGATTTATTGGCAGATTGACAATCTGATACATTCTCTCTTCTCCTTTTATTCTTTCTGCCTCCCCCACCCCTTTTATGCCACAATTTGACTCCCCTCCTCCTGTCTTTTTTTTTAAAAAATTCATTCATAATAAGGGATAGGGAAATAAACTCCCAAAGTAACAATAAACCATTCTCAGGAATTTCTTTTGTGTGGAGCACACTATCTGCTGCTAAATATGTTTTTAGAACAGGCTGCCATGTTCCACCTCTCCCTCTCTTTAAGTAATAGACTGTGTGTGTGTGTGTGTGTGTGAGAACTTCTAATTTTTTAAAAAATGCATAATGCTGTTGCTTGGGACCCTTGGGTCTGTATGTTTACAGTAAGGTAAATGCGCATTATCAAAGACAGTGGGTGCATTTAGACATGGGGTATATTGTGTTAGTACTCCTGTCCTGCTTTCTAACATGCCTTTCACACTGCAATTCCTGTCATGTTCTGGAACTGTGACTTTTTGAACAATTTAGCCTGTGGTGCTGAATTTCATTCACACCAGTGAGCGAGGTGTGACACAGCAACCAACATCATTGGACAACATCACGATTCTCTCACCCATTTGCGCACATGTGTGCACTTCTATTCTCCCATGATTCCCATATGGAAACAGCAGGAAAGAATTGTATGCCTGTATGTTGCCGCTTTACTTCCATGATTTTCTGGGTTAAGGCGGCTGCAAACCGATTTTATCCAGAGTCAAATAGCATAGAAATGAGTACCAAACATGTACCACTTCCAATTCATTTTCTGGAAGTGGCCTTCCTGTCATGTGAAAGCTCAAATATAATGTGGAAATTAACAGGGAAACATTGAGCAAATGGAATAAACCACCCCGTGAATGCAGCTGTTGACTCCAAAACCATGTGTTTGTATGTGCCTCTCATAAAACCTTGTGGGGGGCGGGCATTGCCTCTTCACCATGCTGGGAGTCAGTGTCTCCCCAATGCAGTGTTTCTCGAACTTGGGTGTCCAGCTGTTGTTGGACTACAACTCCCATCGTCCCTAGCTAGCAGGACTTGTAAAGTTACAATCCATCTAGACGGGCAGCATCTCCAAGCAGGTGCGAGAAGGACTCCTGTATGAAATCCTGGAGAACTGCTTCCCATCAGTCTGAATACTGAACTAAATGGACAGTGGTCCTACTGTTGCATTCATCTTCCAGAATGCTAGCTAGCTCTGCTGTCCCAGTTCCTTTAACACTGCATCTACCTGTGGCTTTTTGATGGATATCCCACCATGCCACGTGAAATATTCACTCAGCGGACATTGTTGGGGATGCTTCCACTCTTCATGCCCATGCATGATTCTGCTCCACTGTGATTCACCCATGAAAATGGCAGGAAAGAACCATATGCCTGGGATACCACTGCAGGTATACTCGGTCCAGTATACCTGAAGGAGCGTCTCCACCTCCATCGTTCCGCCCGGACACTGAGGTCCAGCGCCAAGCGCCTTCTGGCAGTTCCCTCGCTATGAGAAGCCAAGTTACAGGGAACCTGTCAGAGGGCCTTCTCGGTAATGGCACCCACCCTGTGGAACGCCCTCTCACCAGATGTCAAAGAGAAAAATAACTACTAAACTTTTAGAAGACATCTGAAGGCAGCTCTGTTTATGGAAGCTTTTAATGTTTAATAGGTTATTGTATTTTAGTGTTCTGTTGGAAGCCGCCCAGAGTGGCTGGGGAAACCCAGCCAGATGGTCGGGGTATAAATAATAAATTATTATTATTATTTGTCACATGGTGTGATCCATGAAAACAGTGGGGAAATTGCAGTTCAAAGCTCTTTGCCATTTTCCAGGTTAGCAGGATTGCAGGAGGATCATCTCTGGAAATAACCAAAACACAGAAATGAGCACCTGAACTTCTGCTTGATTTCCAGAAGGACCTTTTGCATTGTGTGAAAGATTTGCATAAAATAAGCAAAGGAGTGTTGGGGAGACAGAATAAAGTGCTGTGTGACTGCAGCCTTGGTGGGAGGCAGCTTCCTCCATTAAAGTGTCCCCTGACCCCCACCCTAAAAAGCTGGTTGCAAACCAGGACCTATTGTTTGATTATTGCTGCTCCCTGTCTCCTGAATGTAACGATTCTGCCTGCCCTTGCTCCCTGACTCCTCTGTAGAACGGCTTGTGCCAAGTGATCAGCCCATTAATATTCTTCCCATCACCCTTCCACCCGCTCCAGTTCGTGCAGATTAAATGGTTGTAAGCAAGCTTGCTGCGATGACTGACTCTGCACTCATTCAGTCCCCCCCCCCCGACCCCCACGATGAAGTGTGGCACCATCTGGCAAATGGACAAGTTGGGAAAGATTGATTGGTTCATAGAGAGCCCCATTCATTTTCTCCCTCCCGGTTTTGGACAGGAAGCAAATGTTTTTAATCAAATCTATATGTTGCTAAAGCATATTGGATGCTGAAGGCATGCCAACAATTACGATTCTTCGCCCCCACCCCCCTTTTCTCTGCTTCCTGTGAAATAGAGTTATCTTCTGCCAAAGTCCCATTAGGTGGGCTTCTGGGAAAAGCAGCATTGTGGTGGCCATTTCCTCAATTTCAAACACATGCTTAGATTGGGAATAAGGATCTGTGGGTTATGGGGATGTGTTTGCATGGATAAGGATGCATGGTTGGGCGTAAGGGGAAGCATCTATTTGCAGGACCAAAATAGCTCTACTTTAGAACATTTGCATCCCCTGCCAAGACACACTCTGAATATTCTGAAGTGATGATATTTATATAACCTCAGTGTGTGTGTGTTTTGCAAGCACTTGGGGTGGTTTATAGAATCATAGAAATGTTTAGTTGGAAGGGACCCCCTGTAATACAGGAAACTCAGCTAAGGCATCCATAACAGATGACCACCCAACCTCTGTTTAAAAACCTCCAATGAAGGAGAGTCCGCAACTTCCCGAGGCAGAGCATTCCAACTGTTGTTTATACCAGGGGTTCTCCAAAGTGTGGTCTGTGGACCACCAGTGGTCCATGAGCTTCATTCAGATGATCCATGGAAGTTACTGGGAGAGGAACAGGAACATAGGAAGCTGCCTTATACCGAGTCAGACCATCTAGCTCAGTGTTGTCTACACTGACTGGCAGCAGCTCTCCAGAGTTTCAGGCAGGAGTTTCCCCCCACGCCTATCTGGAGATGCCTGGGATTTAACCTTAAAGCCTTTTGCATGCAAAGCAGATGCTCTACCACAGAGCTATCTTCTTTGGCGATCACTCATAGCCGAGTAAGATTGTCTTCCATAAACACGATTTAACGACGAGTCCGTAAGTGACTATGGAGGCCAATTCTGGATCCACACGTCCTTCCACAGTGGGGACATTGGTTTCCGGGTGGGAGTTGATCACGGTGTGGATTTGCCAAACGTGCCTTCTTCCTAGCACGTTTCTCCCTTGCATCCTGAGTTCGAGTGTCTTCAAAGCCCATGACACCTTTTGTAAAGGCTGTTCTCCAACTGGAGCGCTCACAGGCCAGTGTTTCCCAGTTGTCAGTGTTTACACTACATTTTTTAAAGATTTGCCTTGAGACAGTCTTTAAACCTCTTTCGTTGACCACCAGCATTACGCTTTCCATTTTTAAGTTCGGAATAGAGTAGTTGCTTTGGAAGACGATCATCAGGCATCCGCACAACATGACCGGTCCAACGAAGTTGATGAGAGCTATAGCACTGAGGGGGCTCTGTTTCAGAGTACTAAAGCCATAGCTGGTGGCAAGACAGGGGGAAGGAGTTGGGGGTGGGGGAAGAGGCCGACCAGCTGCTGCAACACCAGCATCATTCTATTTGGTTGCTGACTTCCCATAGCTAAAGCCATGCTCCAATCAGCTTACAACATGAACCAACTTGTAAAAGTGAAAAAGTAGCCATAAACAATAAGTAAAACATGCCAAGAAGTTCACAATTTCCACATAAACTCCAATAGCAGCTAAAAAATAAAGGTACAAACAACAACAACCCACCCAAATGGGGCAATGCTCTGTTTCAGCCTACTTCAGCTCCCTGTGGTCTCCCTCCCTCTCCATTCATCTTTCTGCATGCTGACCACTTTTGATCTCAGAAAGCTCTCAGGTATTTCCGCCACTTGGTGGATCCATTTCAAACTTGCTCCCTGCCTCTCCCCACCCCCAACTTTGTGTTTCAAGCACACTCAACAGCCCTGAGTAGTGTCGTTTCTGCTTCTTGAGTGCCCGATCAGATACTTGTGGTAAGCCACAGAACTTTAGTTGTGTTGTGGGGGTGGGGAGCAGGCTGGGAAAGCCTAACAGGGGTTCAAGTGTGAGAGCTGAACATGTTCAAGTATTTGAAGCTGCAAAGAGAGAGGCGGTGGCGGGGGGGGGGGGGAGGCTTCTCTTACCTTTGCCTTTGAGAGAAAAAACAAACACTTCCATACTTGAAGGTCGTCTAGGCTGCGTGGAGAGCTCAAGATGTTAAGTGGTGGCACTGCAACGCTCTTCTATCGTGCATTTCTTCTTTTAATCGAAAGAGGTCTCGTTGCAAACAGAAATCATCTGGAAAAAAACAGAGATGGAAGCTATGATACAGTTAATTCAGAGGCTGTTGATTCCCCCCACCCCGGCTGCCTCTCTCGTTCGCTCCTTTTGCATTCTTTCTATTGACTTTTTCCCCCCACCCAAAAGCGAGTCGACCTGCCATGCTCTGTGTCACTAGCTTATGTGATTAGAAGCAGCCTGAATCATTTTGAAAAGCCGATAATTAGGCTTATTTTGAATGGGAGACCTGGCCTTGAGGCAGCCTTGGCACGTTGGGCATGAATTTTGAGGCTGTTAAACTTGATAATCCAGAGGGGAAACAGAAGCAAGGTCTCCAGAGGACACACCTGCCTGAACCAAACCTTTTATCAGCCCTGTTTTGCACCCTCCTTCAGCTTAACTAGAATGTGCCTTTGAACTTGGAAAATGCATCTTGCTTGCCTGACTGGAAGGTGAAAATGGGTGTGGAAGCCTGTGTAGAAAGCAGCCACCTTCTTTCTTTCCTCCAGAGGAGGAGCCAGAACCAACACTTTGAATTGTGCTTGCAAACTGGGAGCCAACGTCAATCAGATTTTATTGGTCGACCAAATGCAGGTTATAGCCAAGAACAAACAAACAAAAACAGACAAGCCTCAGCCTCAAAAGCATAATACAGCACATAGAATTAAAACATTATAAAGCATTTCACAGAAATTGCGGAAAACTCCAGGCACAAGGCAGGTCTCTAGGCCTTTCCTGAACTGAGAGGCTTTTAGTGCAAACTTTGCTGTGTTAAACAGAACTGGTTTGTTCGAGCTAGACAGCCAATGTAGATCTTTTAGAGCTGATGTTATCTGGTCCCGGCAGCCCCTCTCTGTGACCATTCCAGCAGCCGCATTCTGGATTAGTTGTAGCTTCCAAGTTTCCCCATCCCTGCAACACACCTTTAACATACCTACACCTTTATTCAGGGTTGCAGAGTTTTGTTAACTGGGGGTGGCAAACTCCACATTTCCCACCCCATCTCCGAGACTCTGAGCAAAATAAACCAGCCTTGCTTATAATGGTGATGCAGCCATAGACCTCTAGGAACCTTTCTCAGCTGTTAACGTTTTAAGATAAAGGTTTTGGAGGAGAGGACGGGAACCGCTGAACTTGCTGCTCGCCTGCAGGTAGGCATATTGCCCTTGCAGGGTTCCTCGCTGTTCTTTCTCTGTAATTTGACATGAGCGACGCAGCGTGGAATAGGTTTCGGAATGGTCCCAATGTTGCTCTTTCCTGATGTCCCATTAAGTGCTTAGACCTCGGACTAGCTGTTGGAGGAGAGGTCATCTTCCCCCCGCCACCCCCTTCCCCAGGGAAACATTCATTATTATTTTTTAATGATGTTTATTGAGAATTTTAAGATTACAAAGAAACAAAGAAAAAAAGGAGGGAAAAAAGTAACAATTAAACAATACGAATCAATAAAAATCAAAGTCAAAAAGAAAAAGCAAAACACATAATACATCAAAATCAAAAAGCAAAAATAGACAAAAAATTTAAAAACAGATCCAATATTCCCAAATCCTTAACTGTCATTACCTTATTTCATCGACCTCCTCGCACCTCCCTTTTTTGTATTCTAGTTGTTAATTATCTCAGCAAATCCTTTCCATCTTTCATAATATTCTGTCATTAAATTACCTTAATCTATTTTAACCTTGTCTTACCATAAAAAACCCTAAAACTTAAAACTTAGATCTTATTTATACCAATTTCTCATAACCATAACATATTCTTACATAATTCTTTTTAACATTTCTGCTAAAGCCAAATAATTTCGTTCCAACATTTTTCTAATATTCATTAATTTTACAAAACTTTCCTAAATGAATTTTTTAAAACTTTCTTCCAATCTTCATCCAACGTCTCTTCCTCCTGGTCTCGGGTTTTGTCAGTCCTTTCTATCCCCCCAGGGAAACATTCAATGCTTATCTCAAAAGGAACAAAATAAACCAATAAAGATGAGCCAGTGAGGCTCTGTGACAGAGTAGAAGTGGGTTCGAATCCCTGTTCATTCAGCAGATGTGTATTAGGTGCCTGAGCCAGCCATTCTCATTCTCTCTCTCTCTTTCCTAAACCTACCTCAAAGGGTTGTTTTGAGGGTAAAAATGGTGGTAGTGGGGAGTTTCTACACCCAGTATTGCCCAGACTCTGGGATCTTCTGTATGCAAACATGCCCTCCATCCCCATCAACAAGCAACGTTATACTGAGTCAGACCATTGGTTCATCCAGCTCAGTACTGTCCACACTGACTGGCAGCGACTCTCCGGGATTTCAGACAAGGTGTTTTCTCCCAGCCTTGCCTTGAGACGCCAGGGAATGAGCCTTGGACCTTCTACATGAACAGCAGGAGCTCTACCACTGAGCTCTACATGCCTTCCTCATGGGAGAAGGAGAAGAAGTATTTTACAAGTGGGTTGTTTGCAAAGTGGGACTAAAGCAGCCTTGTCTTTAAGCCAGTGTTTATCCAGCTCAGGTCCCAGGCTGCTGCTGGACTACAACTCCCATTATCCCTAGCTAGCAGCGGTCAGGGATGATGGGTGTTGTAGTCCAACAACAGCTGGGGACCCAGCTTTGAGAAACACTGATTTAAGCACTAACCTGGTAGCCATGGATGCTTATAGGCCAGTAATCGGGTTGGTGGGAGAAGCAAGAAACACTTTGCCCTCTTTTTTATGCCCAAGTGAGCTTCTCGTAGAGGTGGATGCCCTTCTCCAGGCCCAGCATTGAAATTTAGTGAGATGTTGGTGGAGGGACAGAACTCTGCATCCCTCCTCCCCTACCAGCCCTCAAAAAGGTAAAGGTAAAGGTACCCCTGACCGTTAGGTCCAGTCGTCGTGGATGACTCTGGGGTTGCGCACTCATCTCGCTCTATAGGCCAAGGGAGCCAGCGTTTGTCCACAGACAGCTTCCGGGTCATGTGGCCAGCATGACTCTGGCGAAACCAGAGCAGCGCACGGAAACGCCGTTTACCTTCCCACTGGAGCGGTACCTATTTATCTACTTGCACTTTGATGTGCTTTCGAACTGCTAGGTGGGCAGGAGCTGGGACCGAACAATGGCAGCTCACCCTGTCGTGGGGATTCGAACCGCCGACCTTCTGATCGGCAAGCCCTAGGCTCTGTGGTTTAGACCACTGCGCCACCCGCATCCCACCAGTCCTCTTGCAAGGCAGTAATATAACTGTCTGCTTGTCTCCCGTTGCAGGCTAATAACTTTCATGAGCTTATTTACAAGGCTAGGCTAAAGGTGGGTCCAGGGATCAAGAGGAAGCTGAAGACCACTATTTAGATAAGTGTCGTATTAGCATGCAATCTATTACCCCTTCCTAGTTTTTACCTTTTTCCTTTTGGGCTGCCTCCACTATTCCAGCCCTACAGAGCCTCATCATTTGAAAGAATGGTTTCCTGATCTTTATTGCTCTCCCATTCTTCACCTGTCTTCCAAGGCAGGCTAGAAAATGAGGATATTCTTTTTTATCCCTCGGCAGAAAGCTGTTATTAAGGTAACTATACCCTTGCCTTGCTCGGAGCCTCTGTGGAATCCCTAATTAGCTCCCACTTCATAATAGGCTCCTGGTGGTGCTGATGACTCAGAGGCATAATCTTTCTTGGCTTTGAATGTCTTCCTGAGCCCAGAAGGGAAGCTGCAAAAACACGAATGTTGCAGGCTTTGGACTGAGCCGCAGCGAGCCGAGTGACAGCCTCCTCTTTCCAATTTCCTCCTAATGTAGTTCCATTGCGCATCCATCATGACATTATTCGCCTCCTTCAGGAGCAGAGTGGCCAACTGCTCACAGGCTCTTTTGTGGTGTTGTTGTTTTTCTTCCTACAGACTTCAGGTGGAATTTCAGAACCAAACCTCACTGTTTCTGGGGAAGGGCCCTAGGTCAGCGGTAGAGCTTTGAAGGCTCAATCCCTGCTATCTCCAGATAGGGCTGGGGGGGAAACACCTTTATGAAATGCTATAAAGTGCTGCTGCCAGTAGGTGCTGACAATATGGAGGAAATGGAACAATGGTCTGATGATATATGGGAGCTCCATTTCAGGTTCTGCTGCATGCATATCTGGCTGTCTACCTTTTTTGAAAAAGCACTGAATCCTGCTGCTGTTTTTTGTATAGCTGATTTGAGCATACTGTGCATTCAGAGCTGAAAAAATGAGTGAGTGACTAGCATTGACCCGTCACCGTTCCTCTAGTTCGCTGGAAAACTGGATTGGCTTCCTTGACAGCTCATTGACAGGACAGTACATCAGCGGAGAGGCCCTTGTTTTCACGCTCTCGCTATTTTTAGTGCCTCTGCTGAGCTCATTCACAGAAGGGTTGCCTGCTTACATGCACATACCACCTGTGAATGATTTCTCCCTTTACATTCTGTTTAAAAAAAGATGATTATAAAATGACACCATTGGGAGGGAGGAGCCATAGAACCGTAGTTGGGAGGGACCCCCAGGGTCATCTAGTCCAACCCCCTGCAGTGCAGGGATCATTTTGCCCAATGTGGGGCTCGAACCCACAGCGCTGATATCAAGAACTGCATGCTCTACTGACCAAGCCAATGTGGCACTGTTCAACCATTGTTGGACTCTAGCTTCCATCAGCCCCAGGTAACATGGTCACCACCTGGGGATGATGGGAGCTGCAGTTCAGCATCATCCTAATCCCTGTGTTACCTTTCTCCTTTGTGATGTATTGTGTTGTAATGAGCAGCTAGAATGCCCAGGAAATGGACATGAAAAAGGGAGCCCTCCGATTGAGGGCTCCTCTAAAGGGAGTTCTGAACAGCCTTAGTTACGATTACAACCTTCACACTTGTTAAGAATCAGCACGTCGCAAAAGAGAATTGATAAGTTGCTGCTGTGCACCGTAAATGGGAATCTTAATTGTTACCTGTAGGAATAGGCAACTTTCGCAGAATGTTCCCAATAGTGACATGCTCTTCTTACGGTGGAACCTCTTTAAAGCAGAGGAAACCAGTTGGTGCCCTCCAGATGTTGATATGGACTACAACTCCCATCATCTCTGACGATTGGCCGTGCTGGCCGAGGATGATGAGAGTTGAAGCCCTAAACATGTGCAGTACCACATTGAGTACCCCTGCTTTAGAGTAATTCTCATTTGCACACGTGTGTACGGAAAAACCTGAAGAAACCTAAAGGCTAGTAACCATGGTTTACTTATTGACACAGACTTTCATACTCCTCTACCCTAGTTCTTTCGTGTTTTAATTCTTCTCTTTCCTTCTTAACATGCCTCTGGGAATGTCTCTTATAAGCATCAAGCCCAGCCTGAAATATGGCACTGCCACTCACCTGAAGAGCTTAAGGGAAGCTCTGCATAGCCTTAACCATGGTTATTGTTCATTCTGGCAAGCTGGTAAACCGTGGTTGAGAAATAGACACTTTTTCCTATAGACTGGTTAGGGGGCACAGGAAAGGATCCCCAACTTGGCTTTTCAGTAACCACAGTTAGTAGAGGACCAACACTACAACTTTACCAGCCCATCAATGACAGGTGGATTTTTTATTTTTTATTTTTTTGCAAGAGTTCAAATAGGGACATTGCTAACAACTGGAGATTCTTGAGTTCCCACAGGGTGGAAAAATGTACACTAATTCAAGACCAGGGAGTGCACAAGAGAACTCTGCTATTGCAAAGGAACGAAGTCAGCTTTTTTGATATGTGTTTGTTCCCTTGGCATCCGTTTAGCATTGAGCTTGTTAAATAAATCCCTGGAGATCTGAGGGATACTCTTAGCAGCAGCAACAACAGGAAGAATATGCTATATAAGGATTCTTCCCCTTTTGCTCTCAGTGAGGTTATAATACTGGATTGAAACAGATAGGGGGGAAAGCAAAAACCATTCAATGGGGTGCAAAGATATACAAATCAAAATACACAACCAATACAAATATTATTTAAAACATTGATTTTACCATGGAACTGGTGTCAAGTCAACATCTGACTTGGCTCATTTGTCAAAGTTCTCTTTCTGTAATACTTTGCTTTTGAACAACTCCTGCTGTTTGCATAAATAGCTTTTCATCTGGGCAAGCAAGGAATTATAGAATCTTAGAATTGTAGAGTTGGTTGGTACCCCAATGGTCATCTAGTCCAACCCCCTGCAATGCAGGAATCTCAGCTAACGCAAACATGACAGATGGCCATCCAAGCTCTGCTTAAAAACCTCCCAGGCAAGGAGAGTCCATCACCTCCCCAGATAAACTGTTCCACTGTCAAACAGCTCTTACGGTCAGAAAGTCCATCTTGATGTTTAGTTGGGAAGGTCTCGTTAACTAGACTGTACTCTTCTGGCTCAGTGGTGCAGATTTGCTCCATAATTTTCACACGTTTGCCAAAATGCATCCTAATAACAAAAAAGGGAGTCATTATCTTGCAAAAGGGATGGGGTGGAGAGGCTGTTTCAGCTCAGGTGAACACTAGAGCATTTTTACAGGCTCACTGTGGGATGTGCAGGAACTCTTCAAAGATGTTGTGTTCCTTGTTTTGTTAGCTTGCCATCCCACTCCTTGACTATAATTGAGCAGATGTCTGTTAATCTTTGTGAGACGTTACCTTGCCGGTTTTATCAAGTGCAACGCAGAGGACAGATGTTTGGTTTCTTTGGTTTCCCTCCCCCTCCCCACTTTTCCTGTCTTTCTCTCACAATTGCTTGTGGTGCTTGTTACAAGATTTGCATATGCTTAACACAGACAGGTGGCTTCAGACTGAAAATAAACTTGCTGTTTTAACTTTGCTGCTTCGCTCGCATGCGGAAAAGCGAAAGGCGGGCATGAAGGCATCAGGACACAATTTCTTTGCAAATCGGTTTGGCATGCATCTCAGACAAAGTGGGATCCATTAGCATAGCATTTTTTTAAGAGAGCTGGATATGTTTGAATACAGTTTGTACCAGAAATCCCTTCCGTGCTTTTTGAAGCAGATGGTTTTGTGGAAAGGACCAAGGATTTCAGCAATCAAGACAGCAAACACAGCATTGCCTTGGACTTTGAACTGTTGGGCTGGGACCCCCAACTGGGCTACTAGCTAATTTGCTGGGGGGGGGAGGGAAAATTTAGAAGTAAAGGCAAACCATGATTTCATAGAATCATAGAAGTGGAGGGGACCCTGACGGTCATCTAGTTATTGTGTTTTTAATATTTTGTTGGGAGCCACCCAGAGTGGCTGGGGCAACCCAGCCAGATAGGCAGATGATGATGGTGGTGGTGGTGGTTGTCGTGGTGGTGATCCAACCCCTGGCAATGCAAGGATCTCAACCAAAGCATCCATGACAGATGGGCATCCAACCTCTGCTTAAAAACCTCCACCGCCTTTCTAGGGAGACTGTTCCACTGTTGACCAGTTCTTAACATCAGAAAGTTCTTCCTGATGTTTAGTCAGAACCTCTTTTCTTCTCATTTGGATCCACTACCCTCCAGAACAGGAGAAAACATGTGTGTTCCATCTTCCATGTGTCAGCCCTTTAGATAACTGAAGATGGCTATCACTTCTCCTCTTTTCCAGGCTAAACGTACCCAGCTCTCTCAACCATTCCTCATAAGGCTTGGTTTCCAGTCAATGTGGGTAATACTGAGGTAGGTGGACCAGAACTGGAGACAAGTTGCCTCTGAATACTAGTTGCTGGGGAAGAAAAGTGGACGAAGCCTATTGCTCTCATGTCCTGTTTGTGGGCTTCCCAGAGACAGCTGAGATGCACGTGTTTCTCCTTGTCATTGGAGTTGGGCTAGGCTGTGCAGGTCTGGGACTAGTGTTTGGATGTAGCAGTGGACTGAACGAGAGCCAATAAACTGAGATTGAATCCCAACACGATAGGAGGAGGGGTCACAGCTGCAGTTGCGGACTGCAACTTCCATCAGCTCCAACCAAGATGGTGAGCAGTCATGGATGATGATGGGAGTTGGAGTCCAATAGCATATGAAGGTCTGTAGATGCATCTCTGCATGTAGCAGCTGTGGTTTGGGCTCATTCGAACCTTCTGAGCATTCTTCAAAGTAGCCCCAAGTACAGTGGTGTTGCTTCGTTACTGGGGCATGAATAACAGAGGCCAGGATATATTTGTCAAGGAGAGGCTACCCTTAAGTGGTGAAAAGGCATTTTGTGCCATTTATGCTGCATATGAGGTAGTAGGGTGGATGGATGTCCCTGTCTGTTCGGTCATTCCAGATCCTATGATCCTATTTTCCTCTTATTGGGAAATATTTTATGCACTGCAGTGCACTTCAACCAAGCGAGTGGAGTGGGGGGGGGGAACCACTTCTAATTGATGCTTAATAAGGATTAATACTTGTAAAGTAATTAAAATGAGCTCTGGAAGCACTTCTGTCCCTTTGGTGCTGCCAGCTTAATGGGCCATTGTTTTCGGTCTGTTAGCTGTGCCCTTCAGCTCTTCTGCAAAGTGTGCTAAAGCCCTTTTTTATTTTATTTTATTTTTTTGGAATTCTGCTCCGAGATTAGTATTATTAAATACGCATGGATTTAATTTTCTTTAAAGTTTAGTTTTAGACATTATTTTCTCTTTTTCCTCCTCCTCCTCTTCCTCCTGCTTCAGTGTTAACCATTATAGGATGTCGGCAGGAATTATTACAGCAAAGGAGTCAGCCTCACAGTTTCCTTTCTTCCTTGATAAGTAGAAAATTACAATGTCTAACTTTTTTTCCTGCCTGGAGATTAAGCGTCCTTTAGGCGAATTAGTCCACATGGGATTTCTTTCACTGCCATGGGAGGGACAAAGACCACTTACTGGCTGAGAGCATCTGTTCAGCTAGTGCAGGGATGGGGAAACTTAGGCTGACTGTGGCCCTCTAGACCTCTTTATCTGGTCCAAGTGGGACTCTCTGAATGCCACACCCTCTGTCCCGAGACACACTCCTCACTGGTCCTCCTTTTATGTTTTGGCCTGGCTGAAATGTGTCCTGGAACTCTATAAATGCCTCTTATTTACCTTCACGGAGGATAGAGAGATAGGTGATCAAGTGTGTGTAGAAACTAGCCCAGGGGTCGGCAAGCTTTTTTTGGGGTGGGCCGGTTCACTGCACTACAAACCTCCTGGTGGGCCAGAGTGCGTATGCGCGCATGTGCACAATGCAGAGGGGGCCTCTTTCTCCCCCCCCCAGCCCCTCCTGTCCCCCTGCCTACCTGGGGTGCTTTTGGGCTCCTCGTTCCTCCTCCTCCACTGATGACAGTGGCAGAAGCGGTGGAGGAGGAACAAGCAGTCCTCCACCGACGAAGACAGACTCTGCCGCTCGCAAGGGCAGGCATAGGAGCTGCGCTTGGCAGAGCGGCGGCAGCACAAGCGGCGGCGGCAAACAGCTTGCTCCAATAAGGGGCTGCTGGAAATGCGCTCGGCCAGCTCATCCCAGCCCCCTTCCTCCTCTCAGCCACACGCAGCAGCCACTCACCCATTGACCAGGGCCTCAAACCTTAGCAGGCGTTTGGCCGGCGATTTGCTACACCAGGAGCAGGGAGGGAGGAGGTTCCGCTGTGGTGTGTGGGGGGAATGTTGGGGGGGGGAATGGCACCCGCGCTGTGAAAAAACCCCACAGAT